GCGGGGGGGAAAAAAAAAAAAAAAAAAAAAAAAAGGTCCTTATAAAATGCCGCACCACCACCGCAGTACTTTCGCTCGCTCTTCTACTCGGAAGGCTCCTGCTTCAACATCACGCTTGGGAATGAGCAGGCGGCCAATTTGGGTGATGGTCAAGGCACGCTGAATCAAACGGACATCAAACGTTACAATTACTACCTGGGCGACTCGGGAACTTGTTTGCAGAGCTTGAACGGGTGAGCTGGCTCGTCGCGTGTAGAATGCGACCAAGCAGACGCTCATCGCACGCTCGTCGCCATCGTTCAGTGGGCCACACTTTCGCTACTGGCAGCAAAGCACGACCAGAGCCTGGTTCCTCGCCACAAGCTATTCTGACGACGCAGAGACGAACCACATGATCATTCCGAACGGTTACGACCTCAATAGAGATCAGCTCTCCTCCAACGCTACCAACGCCACCGGGACGTTTTCGCCTGGAGGATTCGAGTACACGGCTACGCGGACGCAGGCTCCTCTGCTGGCAGACGTGCCCCTCGAATCCATCAACCATGGTATCGCTACAGATGGCAACGTCGACATTCTCACTGTGCGCATTCGCAAGACAGGTACACTTGGAGCGAATTCCAATCAACCTGCCTCTGTCACCAACGCCCGGGGCGGTTCGAGCGGGGCCAGCAGGAGCGTCGAAATGAGCACAGCTGCTATGCTGTTGCTTGCAGTCCCGCTTGGAGCATCTTGCTTGCTTTAGATTTTCATCGATGTTGCGGCTGATGGACTTGCAATCAGATCAGATCACTGTTCGCTTTTCGTACACGAGCTGCCTGAAGGTGATGGACGTGCGGGGCTGGGAGTAGATGGGACTCTTTTTGCTCTCCCTAGCAATTTCGTGCGTGAAGCGTTTTTGCACGTCGCCTTGCATCACCAAGACGCTGCCGCTTTCGAGAACCAGCGACCTTTTTCTCGATTGCCTCGCCTTGTCCACGGTGGACTTGACTCCTCGAGCCTTCTTCTCCTCAAACGTAAAGGTGCGCTCTGCACCCAAGGACACCGTTACGATGACTTGATTTTCGACTGCAGGACACGAGAGGATTCGTATGAGATCATGTTGGGGGCATACGGCGCTTACACGACTCACGATTGTCCGAGTGTTTGCCGATGTACACCGAACCATCGTCGTAGCGATTGAGCATGGCGTGATTGAATTGCACCTCCTCTCCCAAGATCTCTTTCGTGCACAGCCTCTTGGCGATCTCGTCGAGAAGGGGCGGAAAGGGGCAATGCATCTCGACCTCGTGTCCGCTGTATTTCAGTGGCAATCCAGCCTCGCGCGAGAATGCAGCAATGGCACGTGACTGCTTGATCTCTCGACCATACACTTTGAGTGTCGGCCTGTACCACTGCGGCAAGTCGTCGAGCTCCTTTCGCCATTTTTCGGCTTGATCGCGACTGATCCACCTTGCCCTGAGCAAAGCGCGTGTGGAAATTCGCAAGATGAGCATCGCAGCCATGCCCGGCACTGCGCGTCGTGCTCACATGTAGTACACCTCTGAATCCTCCAGCCCGCTGACTCGATGAGCTTCGATGAAGTCGCGCCTAGTCACCGGAGCCATGTAGCCAGCAGTACGATTCCGTACGTCGACATTTGCAACAGGCTCCTGATCTCGTCCGTCTCCCGCCTTTGTCATCTTGGTGGAAGCCGCGGCAACTTGATCGGTCCTTGCGCGCTTGCTGGGTTGGCGCTCTTGCTCCGCCTCATGTCCTTCGTGGTGTCTTCTCATAGCGAGCTACCGCAAAGAATCTCAGATTTCGATACGAGTCTCAGACCGGGCACCGCACGCAGCTCGGCGTAGGTACGTCGCGCAATCGACACGAAGCACAAGCCACGCCCGAAGCTCATGGTGGTGGGTGTGATGTTCATTACGCAAGCAGCGGCGCGCTCCACAACGCGCCTCAGGGTCTGCCACCGTGGATGCATGTGCGCCATGCAGGTTTGGAGGCGGCGAAAAGCCCGCGTATAGCGTGTCACGTGGTGCATCTCGGCCACAAAGTCCATGTCAGTCACAAAAGTCACGAGTTGAGGCGAATCGAGATTGGCGGGAAAGTTGACGACAGACTCAAGCAATCACTAAGCAAAAGATTCGCGTCTTTGTGATTCACGTGCCCGAGTGCGCAATGTCGCGCACACATGCAAGTCACCGCATCGCATTTTGATGGCCAGACCTCTGCTCCGCCAATTCCAATCGGGCGGCTTTCCGGCGCTCGTAGTGCTCGCGCACAATTGCTCTAACAGCACCGATCACTTCCTCTTCCACGCACGCTTGCGCCGTGCGCGCAAGCGTCCCGACTTGCTCCGCAGTCCACACCTAAAGACGCAATCGACCATGCGTCAACGGTGTGCACACATTTGCGACGCGGAGCGCTCAACTCACGAGATTGTACGAGTTGCTGAATTCGGAATTCTGCGCATCCAAAGGGCATTCTCGTTCTCGTCAGACGCAATCGATCACCTGACCAGACCTCGAACCAACTCACTGCTGGATCAAAGAGTGGCTGGCACGCATGCGGCAGCAATGGGCAGTACACGATCGTGTGGCTCTGCTTATCCTTTCCAGGCAAAGCGGCGCGACTAGTGTCGCTGGGCGCCTCGTGCAGTCCCGCCGGATGCTGCTCATTAGCCGGCCATGCATCCACGATCTGGGCATACTTGCCCTTGAAGCTCCGTGCAAAGTCGGTAGAGGTTGAAGAAGCATCTAGACTAGCTTTCGCGTGTCTCGTTTCTTCCAGCTCTTCTTCCGTCTTTGCCGCGAGTCCTGGACGCTTGACCAAGTGCAAGCCTCTCTCCACACCGAAGAGCGAGAGGCGGGCAAGTGAGGCTCCAGTCTGCACGTCAGACGAGTAGTCCATGGCAACGATCACATCTGCCAGCCTAGAAGGCATGGTGAAGATGTCTACACAAAAGCAGCAGGCGTCAGAACATCACGCATGCGTTCGTAACACTTGCGAGCTGGCTCACGCACGCGAAGGAAGGTTGTTGGCAAGACCGCTATCCATCAGCTTTAGCCGCGGTGCACTTTCGAGCCCTGTCGCGGCGGATTGTCCGATATGGGTCACTGCGTCCAGCTTTGGTGCTCGACCTCGCCAGAGAGGGTTCGGTTCGTCGGCCGCTCTGATCGGGTTGCCCCACATCTTTTCAAAACGCTGCCGTTGCACAAAGGCGTTGAGCCGCGATAGAAGGTTACGAGCCAGCGTTTCCTCGGGCAGCGTTGCCAATAGCGCAGAAATGTATCCGCTCCTTTGAGGTGTGCGCCGACCCAATCAGAATTCCCAGTCACCTTTTGCGCTCGAGTACGACTCACAATGGACCTGCGGGAGCACTCGTGCAGTATCCCAGCAGCAGGGCAAGGCTCATCTCGGGTAGTCTGCGCTTGCACTCGCCTCTCTCAAAGATTCTACCGAAACTCCATGATGGAATCCACGCTCCTTTCTCAGGCGACCCGATCTCTATGGGCGTTGCCTCCCACCATTGGTAAGGTGGTGTCTGGACAGCCAAGTCTCTTCGAACTGCAGTGAGGATGGGCATAGGTTGCGCACCGTCGTGTAGCGCTGAGCGAGAAAAAACTCTGGACCACTGGAATGTCGATCGGCTCAGACGAGGTCTGGCTTGCGGTGACCGCGACAGGAATTGGTAGCTCTGGACGAAAAGTTTTGCGATGTGAGCTAGAGGCGGAAGGTCAAGCGTACTTTGACCGCGCCCGCTTACAGTAGTCATGGTCGCATAAAGGTCCTGTAGCAACGTGACTCTTTGTCAAAAGATGTGTGGAGACAGCGCATCGGAGTGTACGCACCATCAAGCCAAGACCAACCACTCCGCTCCTCGCCTTGGCGAGCAGAGGGGCAAGCAGGAAGTACGTCCCACGCTTGGACCGAGCAACGACATCCAGTGCTTGACGGCTAAGGGGATGAATGCCTTCGCTCGCTACTGCTGTATAGTGTGCTAGCAGCTTTTGCGCGTCGTGCGAAGCGATCGTGTAGAGCGCTACATGGGTGTAGGGTATGCTTTGTTTGCGATCCACGTTCTCGCCTTTCACGCTGCAAAGACGCCTTCTCACCTGCAAGCGTCCAGCAGCTGCCGCTCACACCGGCGCTCCACGCTGCGCAGTCCCAGACGCCGCCTCGCTGCAGGGCGAAGAGGCCAGCAGTGAAGCCAAACTTGGCTCTGTAACCTCCGCCTGATCCGCCAATGCCTATCTGCCCAAGTGGGACAAAGTCGAGAGCGGCGGTGAGAAGAGCTGCATGCACGCATCTGACTGGGCATCGCCACAAGCAATCGACGCTCACTAGCGGGACATCTTTGGGATGCACGATCTCGTCTTTGGGCAAGTCGAGAAGACGGGACAGAGATCCACTTTGCGCAATGGCACGGCGACGCTGACGCAAGAAGCGAGACTCGATGGGGTGCATTTGACGAGAGATGCTGCGCCGAAAAGGGATTTGCGGCAGTGAGCTCTTGGCCACGCGCAATCGCGTTGAATGGATGCTGAGGGTAGTGCGGGGATTGTGATTGGAGCCACTCACCGCACGTGACTGTCCCACTGCAACTCTGGCCATCGCTTCACGTCGATCTCCTCTTCTTGGATGCGCCCTCGAATCTCTGCCAGATCTTTGGCTCGATCAAACCACCGGCGTGGGAGCCTGGCGGCCTCTGCGAGCACGCTAGCTATGCGCTCTCCCATACCCCTGGGTCTGTTCAGCATGGAAGCGTAGAATTTGGCCAGAGAGGCTGCGTTGGTGTGGGTCAAAGTGGACTCTGCACGGCGAAAGGCCTTGATGAGGGCTGCGTACGGTGCAGAGTCTGGGGCGAGGGATTTGAGCGCAAATGGGATTCGAAATGGTCGATCGCCGCTCCTTGCAGCTCTGGCCAAAGCAGCAAGGGTGTGGTGCGAAGAGGGCGCGGACGAGGGCGAAGCGGGGGATGCGGGGGATGCGGGGGATGCGGGGGATGGCATGTTTTCTGTTGCTACCGTTGTGGGCTTCTTCGGGACAAGCGGTGCTGCAGACGAGTGGTTGTGCAGCCAAGGCGGCTTTTCATCATCTGACAAAGGCAAACGCCCTGACAGAGGCGTTGGAGCATCTCTACCAGCTGCTGCTGCTGCTGCTGCTGCTTCTTCTGGCTCAGCCACGTGACCTGGCAGCAAGCTCCACAATCGATCAAGGCGCTGCAGCTGCTTGTGATCCAAGTGACGTGTGATGGGTCTGGCCTGAAAGAAGGAGACTAGGCTGCAGAGGAGGTACAATTTGAGGTACAAGTAGCCGGGCGAAGTGCGAATGCGCCTAGCCAGTGGCATGATGCCCTTCGGCGGCACGTGTGCTGTGCTGTGCTGTGCTGTGCTGTGCTGTGCTATCAGACGCCAAACTTCCTGCTCGCCGCCGCTGTGGACTTTGGCGTGGCGTTACTCATTGGTGATTGGAGGATATCGGAGCGT